TTCCTTCCTCCCTTTTTCTCTCTCTCTCTCACACACAACACACACACACACACACACACACACTCACACAAATACACGCACAAGATAATAAAGAGATGAATGATATCAGAGGGATTTTTCGAGTTACCTGGATATTATTATTATTATTATTATTATTATTAACAATATTAAGTTATTTTCTGTTTTGTTGATTTTGTTGATGTTTATAAACTGATTATTATATATGTATATTGACGATATATTAATCTTGTGTTAATGTTTGTGCTATATTTTTTGGTAAAAAACAAAATTAATGTTGTTAATTCTAAGTTGTTGTTGTATTAGTGTATTTTGTTTTGGTTGTGATGTTGTTATTGCTGTCACGTTCGCTTTGTTTCAAGGTTGTTGTTGTTGTTGCACGTTGTTGTTTTGATCTGATGTTGATGTAGTTGCGGTGGTTTGGTTTGGTGTAAAAAGTTGGTTGTTGTTCATTCTATGATTTGAAATGAGTTTTGATCTTACTTTCGGCCTTTTTTATTCTTTTTTTGCTTCTATTTTAACTATTTGTTTTTCATGTGATTCAGGGTTGCCGCTGTCCCATCAGATTTTTCTTTATTCATTTATTCATTCATTCTTTTATTCACACGTTTATTCATCCATTTGTAAATCATTCCTTTCATCTTTCTATCAATGCATTCAGTCATTTAACTATCCGTCCATTTATACATCCTTATACAACCATTCATCTATCCATTTATTTATTCATTTTCTTCTATCCATTCACCCATCCATCCATCTATTCATTCACCCATTCATTAATAATCAAGAGTCGCGAAGTAAGCAGGGGACTAAAAAATCTATCATCATCATCATCTTCTTCGTCATCATTATCATTGTAAAAACAAAGAGCGTCACGTGATAAGAAGATTAGAGATAGAAAATTAAACTTGCAAAACATCCAACTTACGTCATGACAATGACGTCACGACGACGATGATGATGACGTATCGAGTGAGATGATGATAAGAGTAACAATAATGATGATAACGATAATCGTATTTACTATAGCGATATAAACGATGACATTCTGATGAAAAGATTTGATGAAATGTTGCTTTGCTAGCTAGCTCAAATGGTACAAGTGCCATGTTTGGCTTTGTTGTTGTAAGGCGTATACCTAATTTAAATACTGTCTGATCAGTACTCAAAGACTATCATGATACATGTAGGATAGCCTTTGAGAATGATACATTCTTTGATACATGGTACATACATACAATCCATTCATAAGTATGAAATAATTTGTGAACAGTTCGGCGCTCGTCAGCGCGGTCTAACGAAAGCAAGAAATATAAAATGAGGATGATTAGAGATATAATCTGCAAAATATCACTGATTGAGTAAAAAAGTTGATCTGTCGATTGATAGTATCAACAAAATCACTGATGGTAATAACAATGATAATGATACAGTGGTGATATCACAACTCGACAATCTTTTAATTTGTACGTACGTTTTAAAAAACTATGCTGAGAAATAAGCTAAATAGAAAAAAGACATATTAGTAAAGAGAGACACAAAAAAGGAGAAAGAGACAGAGAGACAGACAGACAGACAATCAGACAGACAAAAGATAATGATGGTGGTGCTGAGAGGATGAAAAACGCAGTTCTATATTATGCAAAGACTATTTTGATTTATTAGATGGATCGGGTCAGCTTTTTGTATATTTGTATAGGTACCTTTCGTATTTTTTTTATCTGTTTGTATCTCTTTGTAATTTTTGTATCTTATTGTAATATTTTAAATTTCTTCGTCTTTCTTAGTATCTTTTTGCATCCTTTTGTACCTTTTCGTATATTTTTTGGCATCCCTTTATATTTTAATGTATCTTTTTGTATCTCTTTGTATTTATTGTATTTTCTTTTTATTCTTTAAATCTCTTTGTGTTTCCTTGTATCTTTTTGTACCAATATGTACATTTTTGTGGTTTAGAAGGTTTGTGTCAATATTGTTCTTTGTCTGTCTGCTCATTCGTTTGTTCGAACTGTCAGATTGCTTGTCGGACCGTCATCATCGTCGTCATTATCATCGTCATCATCGTCATCATCATCATAGTCATCGTCGTCATCATCATCGTCATCATCATCGTCCTCATCATCATCATCATCATCGTCCTCATCATCGTCATCATCTTCGTCATCATCGTCATCATCATCATAGTCATCGTCGTCGTCATCATCGTCGTGTTCAGACAAATGATCGATCTTTGTAAGCATTGTTGAGATGGTTGATGAGTGAGTGATCGAATGAATAGATGAATGAATGAATGAACAAAAAAGGAATGATTGAATAATAAACAAATAAATGAATAAACAAACGAGCGATTGAATGACGAGGCAGATAAAAGAATGACAGAATCGATAGATGAACGAATAAAAAAGCAATAAAAATGATGGATAACATGAACGAATGAATGAACGAACGAGCGAACGAACGAACGAACGAACAATAAAATGAATATTCGCCCTAAGTTGGTTCGGTACTATGAAAAAGTACCACAATACGTTACGATTGTTTGTATTGAAAGTATAATTTATGATTGATTGAATGATCGATCGATCGATTGGTTGACTGATTGATTGATTGACTGATTGATTAGATGAATGAATGAATAAATAAATGAATGAATGATTGCTTGCTTGCTTACTTGCTTGAACAACAATAAACTGAGCAAACATAAAAATGAATGAATAATTGATTGACTGAAAAATGAAAAAAAAAAATTGAATGAAAGAACGAAAAAATAAATAAGTAGATAATAGAAAACACGTGAAGGAAATCATATGCAGTTTCATGTTTGTTCATCGGTTTTGTAGATTCATACTTGATGCATGGATGGAAAGACGAATGGTTGGATGGATGAATGAATAGATGAATGGATGGATGGATAGCTAGATGAGCGGATATATCTTTATGAAGGTGAGATTTGTGAAGACGATAACGTTGCTGTGGTAATGATGATAATGATAATGATAACGATGATGCTCCAACAATTACTTAGATGATGATGGCGGTGATGATGATGGTGATGACGTTTGTCTGAATGACGCAGACAATGGTTGCGTCATCAAAAAAATTATATTGATGGTGATAACGATGATGATAATGATGGTATAATGAGAATGTTTTACGATCCAAAAGTAGTTTTTTGCACTTTAATTTTTTTTGTCATAGTAAAAATCATCATCACCATCACCATCATCATCACCACCACCACCACCACCACCACCACCATCATCATCATCATCAACATCATCATCATCCTCATCATCATCATCCTCATCATCATTATCATCATCATCATCATTATCATCATTCGTATCTCTAGGAATAGGGATGAACCAGCCAATATATCAGCCAAAGGGTTGCCTTGACTCAAATCGGTATTTGTGTGTGCGTGTGTATGCGTGTGTATGCGTGTGTGTATGTGTGTGTGTGTATATGTATGTTTGCGTATATGTATGCTTGTTCGTATGTATGTATGTATGTGTATGCATGTGTGTGTATGAATGTATGTACAAGTGTATGATTGTTATTATTTACTTTTGTGCATATTTGTATGTATGTCCTTATGTCTGTATGTTGATTTGTATTTATGTTTATTTGTCTGCAAGTTTGTATGTATAAACAGACGTTTCGTTTAGTTTTTTTGGATACAATAATACAACCAAGAACACACACACAGCACTACTTATAGGCACACACGCACACATACGTCTGTACATATTCATGAACGGATGTGTATTGTTGCATAATTGCGTTTGTATGGGTGTTTTGTATGTACGGATGAAGAAAAAACTCAAAATATTTTTTACTTGTTTAATTTAAAAATTTTACCGAATGAAATTAATAAAATGTTTTTTTATGTTTTTTCGATTTTCAATCGAGAAATAAAAAAAATGAGAAAAAATAAACTCACCCATCAAATGAATGCACCTGAAGCAAAACAATCGAACCACACGCAATCCCACACTCACACACTCACACACTCACACACAGATACACAGATACATATGCACATATTTCAACGTCAACGAACACATACACACACACACACACACGCACACACACACACACACACACGCACACACACACACACATACACACACACACACACACACACACGTACACAACAACATACAAAGAGAGGTCCCTGGATGTAAAGTAAACATTGATATTCAAGATTCATTCCTGTTAACCACAGCTTCATCAGTTTTGATGATGATGTTGATGACGTAAAGGAAGAAGACACTGATGACAATAATGAGGGTTAACATGATGATGATGACGATGACTATGACAACAACAACAACAACAACGATAATAATAATAATAATGGTGTTTATGATTAACGGGACATATGTGTGGCAGACAATCGTTACATCTCGCTTGGCGACAAAAAGATGGCGATCATGACGTCATACGACAATGGCGATGATGACGATGACGACGATGACAATGATGATGACGACGATTATGTTTTATTGGTAATAAAGAAAATTGAATATGTATATCATAAAAGAACTAATAAATTAAAAATATTCAAATTAAATTAAAAATAAAGAAAAAAAACACACACATATACATGAATACACACACACACACAGACACACACAAACACACACATACATACACACAGACAAACACATGTACATACATAATGTGTATGTGTGTGAGTGTGTCTGTTTGTGAGCATGTGAGTACCACTGTGTGCATATTTGCATGTTGATTGGGTTTTCATTTAAAAATTTTTTTCTCCACATCAATTTCTCTTTTGAAATGAATTTTTTTTAACGTACATGCTCTCTTTCATATATCTGAAACTTTCTGTCTGCGCTTTCTGCTTGGTTGTCAGTGTGGGGATTTTGGTATTGTCTGTCTGCCTGTCTGTGTGTGTGTGTGTATGCGTCTCTGTTTCTCCGCGTGCGTGTGTGTGTGTGTTTGTGCGTGTGTGTGTATTTGTTTTTTATGTTTTAAAAAATGTTTCAAATTTGAGTTAAATTATAATAATACACGTTTAAAAACACACGCACATACATAAATACCATAATGAAAATATACATTCACGTATGCTAGCTTGCTTGTAAATACAAACGCAGATGTTTGTTTGTTTAACTTTTTGTTGCTGAAGTGTTTATTCGTGCCAACTTGTGCCGAGGCTGGCTTGCTGGCTACTGGCTGGCTGGCACACGAGCGTTGATAAATATCCAATATAATTGATAACATGATGAGTGTCCTGGGCTCTATTTCCTCCTTTCCTTGCTTGTTTGCTTACTCCTCCCTCTCTCTCTCGCTCTCTCCTCGCTCTTTCTCTCTCTATCTTCTCTCTCCCTCCTCTCTGTTTGTCATTTTATTTGTGATGGATTTTTTTTCTATTTTTTATACTTAAAATAACTTGTGACAGACACGATGTAGCTGTTTTTGATGTGACGTTACGTATAAGATGACCTTAATGTATTATATATATACATGTGTATATATAGTACATTATACATTATAGTATACATATAGTACATTATACATTTAAAATAGGCATAGATAACTTATATAATACCCTACTTTGTTTATATATTTGTGTCCTTCAACTCACCCCTGTGCTGGTAATTGTAAGTATTGAATTAAACACAAAGCCGATTGTTTTTTTTTTTAAAGAACCATTAAAAATAAATTGTTGTTCATGCTGAAGAGCTAATCTTCAATATTTCTGCAATTAATTTTTACATTTTAAACAGCTATGATCTTTGCTTGGTTTAACATTATTAACGTTAAAATCAAAATGTAGCTTGCACATTTCGTAAATGTTTGAAAATTATATTTTAAAATGAATGAAAACCTTGCAAAGCATATAGAAAATTGTTTTAATAACAGAGTGAAAATAGAACTAAGAAGAAATAAAACAGATGGAAAGAAATTAGAGGAATAATAACATAAATAGCACGGCTTAACGAATTGTTCGACGATCATAGATGATATGTCAAACCAATGGCACACACAACTACATGAATGGCATCACATAAAGAGAAAGGAAATAAATTTTGTGACAACTTAAACATAAGATAAGATTGAAAATTAAAAAAATTGTCAGAAAACCAAAATTATTTTGTTTTATCTATTTTTAAAAATAATTTTTTTTATTTTTTTGGAAATTTATTTTATTTAAGAAACGTATGACAGGTTTTATTACAGACCTGTCATGTCAGTCTCACAAAACCGACACTGTATTATTGTTTTTACAAATATTTTTCCATATAAAAACCATTGGAACATTTGAGATATCATCTTCTATTTGGAGCGCAAGATATTCGAATCAAAATTTGCATTTTTAGTAGTCAATTGTTTTGTTTATGCATTCATATGTTGGTGAATGTGGCTATTTTAAAGTGTTCTATTTTAGCATGTTTGTGTGGTATGTCTTAACATGTTTGCGTTTTTATATCCAAGTATATGCATGTATGTATGTGAGCATGTATGTATGTGTGTATGTATGTACGTGTGTGCGTGTGTACGTGCGTGTGCACGTGTGTGCGTGTGTGCGTGTGTGTGTGTGAGGCCATGCTGATGGCGTAAGCATCGTAACACCAGGTAAGAAGAAGCGTGTCAAATGACAGGCACGATAAACAACAGGTGTGTGTGTGCATGAAGGTGTTGTTTATGATGATTGTGATGGTGGTGGTGATGATGATGCTGGTGATGTTTATGATGATGTTGAAGATGAAGAAGAAGAAGAAGATGATGACGACGACGAAGACGATGACGATGATGATGACGGCGAAGATGATGAGGAATTGAAAAGGTGTAATCCAGGTAGATAGATAGATAGTTAGGTGTGTGATAGATGATCCGGGATTTGTTTGTTGACGACAAATAGAAAATATGAAACATAATCTTTATATCACGTACTTGAGCAGCTGTTGCCTCGTCATCGTCATCGTTATCATCAACATCAGCTGCAGCAGCTGCAGCATCAGCAGCATCAACGGCAGCAGCAGTAGCAGCAGCAGCAGCAACGATAACATCTCAGTCATCTTCCTCAACAAACGTATTTGTGATAAATTCAGTATCTACATCGGCGCCCATTCATCACGACACACATCATTAACATCATAATTTATGATGTAAGTCGGAGGAGGTTTATTAAAAAAATAATATTGATTGCGCGCTGACCTACTTCAAATGCAAGCGCGGCCGATTTACAAAACTATCGCATACATCAAGTGTACAATGAGAAAACATTTGTGTGTGTGTGTGTACGTGTGTGTGTGTGTGTATGTGTGTACGTGTGTGTGTACGTGCAGATGTTTTTGAGTCGTATGAGATATAAAATTTGCATGATAAAGTATTGCTGCACAACTTTGCGCTATATAATTAATTTAATGACGTCATTCAGCCGTTTGTTTATGTATTTTATTACTGTTCTTTTTGTAATAATTTTATTTTTATTTTTCGATGTTTCATTGAAATAATAGCGTTACGATATTTTTTATTTACTTTTGAGGGAAAAAACATTTGGAAGTATAATTCAATACGATTTGTAGTTATCACCATCGTCGTCGTCATCGTCATCATCATCATCACCACCATCATCGTCATCATCATCATCACCACCATCATCGTCATCCTCATCATCACCACCATCATCGTCATCATTATACCCATCGTCCTCACTATCGTCATCACCATCACCATTATCATCATCGTCGTCGTCATAACCACCATCGTCATCACCATCATCATTGTCATCATCACCACCATCACCATCGTCATCGTCATCTCCACCATCGTCACCACCACCACCGCCACCAGCAGCAGCACTCCAGTTAGTAACAACCAGAGCGGCAGGGTCGGCGAAAACAGATCGCTCCCGACTGATTTGAAAACAAAAACAATTTACTGCATAGTTTGTTTTAATCGCACATGCGTTTGTTTGTTTGCTTGTTTGTTTGTTTGCCTGTTGGTTTGTTTGTATATCTGTTTGTAATGTGTGTTGTTTGGATATTTGAAGGTTGTTGTTTGTTGGTTTTAGCCACACGAGCCTTTGTTGTTTGTATGTATGTCTTTGTTTGCATATTGTTTGTTTGTTGTTGTTTGTTTGTATGTATTTGTATGTTGATGTTGTTTCGCGTACCTTCTAAATACGTTAATTGGGATTGTATTTGAATCTGTGTTGCAAGTGTTGCATGTTGTGAAGGCCCTTGACGTTAATATAGTCGCGTGTTGTTGAAACGTGTCATTTGACGAATCTATTGTCTTCTTGAATATTCATTCACGTTTAGTTGTTGTTGTTTATAATTTCTTTGATGTTAGTTTCACAGGTTGTAGTTGAATTGTTTAGATATAAATAATTGTTGTTGGTGTTGTTGCTGTTGAAACAATTATAACAATATAATTCGTTATTATTGGTATACGCTGTCACGCCATGCAGTGTTCCGCTGTCGTGTTATTGTATAATGTTGTTGATATTTTGTCAGTTGGCTGTATGTGGTTGTATATGGTTGTATATGGTTGTATGTAGTTGTATGTAGTTGTATGTGGTTGTATGTGGTTGTATGTGGTTGTATGTGGTTGTATGTGGTTGTATGTGGTTGTATGTTTGTGTGCTGCTTAGCGATATTGAGTGCTATTATGTGATAACAATGAAATTAAATTTTTCTGCTGTGCCGATTTTATGATTGAATTTTATTTATTTTTATTGATTGTCCGCTTCAAATGTAAAACTTTATCTGAGATAATTTTTCTCCCATGACACACAGACCTAGGTAAATAACAAACAAAACAAACAAACACAAGAAATACAAATAAATATACAAAAAAAAACCGAAAAAAATAAGAAGCAAATAAAATAAGGAAGGAAATGACTGTTTTATTCATCTAGTTATTTGGCCGGCGATCCATCTTGGAACAGACCTGCGGACCACAGCCTATTTACACTCTGCAACTTTCAATTACCGCGGGCGGTTCTACAATGATTGCATTTCTGTGAGTAGCGCCGATAATGTCCTTGATTAATCGTTGCAGCTCTTGTTGCCGCTGCAGTTTTTATCATTGTCATCGTTGTCGCCATCGTCAGGCAACCATTGTTATCGTCGTCATTATATTACATCCTTTCATTCAGCATCATAATACAGTTAGTTGATTGTTGATACTTTCTTTGAAGATGTTTTATTACCAATGTTATCATTCTTTGCATCATTGTTTTTGTCATTTATATCTATATCTACATCACCAAAGATATCATATTGGTTAATTTTTTTCTGCGTTTCATCGTCCACACCACCATCATCTTATTTAATTAACAAAGTCGCCAAACAAATGAACGATGTATTTAAACTAACGAGAATTAAAACTGTAGCACATTAAAACCTAATACAAACAGAATTAACGACATAGATTTTACGAGTAAAACATAGAAATAATAAAAAAACAAGTGGACAAAACGAACAAACAAACAACAAAAGCAACACAACAAACAACACAAACAAAACAACACAAAATCAAACAAACAAAATAAACAAACACAAAAAACAAACAAGTGTTGTTTGCGGATGTGGAGAGCTTAGTATCAACATCATGGACAGGCAGCCAGCCAGTCAGCCAACGACACTCAATGATGATCTTTTCAAATTTTTTCCAAAAAATATCAGCACCTTTCGAAAGAGGGAGAATGTGGACAGAAAACTTGAAAAAATGCAACTCTATAAAAACAAAATATACACCAACTTAAAGTGAACCCAACAATTTTCTAAAGCAATTTTTTTAGAATTCAACAAACAATGCAAAGTAGTAGAGTTAAATGCAAAATGATGTGCTCAGCTTAAATAGTTAAACAACACAACAACCAACTAGAACAACAACAATAGAGTTTTTACATATATACTTTTGTTGAATTGTGAAAAACCAGGCTTAGTCGAAAAAAATTTTACGACAAAAAAAAACAAAAGTGAATAAATTAACGAGAACAAAACGTTTCATTCCTTTCAAATTGGTCGCTTAGATAGTTTTGTTTTTTAAACTTTTATTTTCAGAAATTTTATTTTCTCAAATAATGGAAACAACACGACAAAGCAGACTCAGCAAAATGAAATAGAATGAAAGTTGCACACCTGCACATAAACTTTTTACACACACACACGCACAAATACACACACCACCTGTACCACAAACCAAACACACACAACACACAGACACACAAGTTCAAATAAATTAAAATAAAAATATCTCCAAATTGAAAATTGAAAGGAGAGACAGTAGCATGGCTATAAATTTCCATAATGACAACACTCGACTATGTGTAAGTGTAAATATACTTTTACACATAGCTAATTTTTAAACACACGCATGCATGCATGCACATGGTCCCCACTGCCAAACGAAACGAAACACGTCTCCAGATATGCAATACACATATGTTTATACAATATACATACATGTATATATATATAAATAATAATAATATATATGTGTGTGTATGTGTGTATATACAATACATTATGTATAGCCGAGTACATATAATCATTGACTATTAAATAGTAAACTATCAGTGGTTTATCACTTAGCAGTCCTTATCCATATTTTGTAAAGGCCCGGGTATACATAGTGATAAACATTGGCTTTCAAATGCTAGCATAAATTTTAAAACTTTTACAAAGAAGAGTAGAATAAGATCCTTAATCTTTTTACATACAATGTAGGTTTCTGCATTCATTCATCCATCCATCCATTCATTCATCCATCCATCTATTTATCTATCTATCCATCCATCTATCCATTTATCTTTAATCCATACTTAGATAGATCTATGATGCATGATGCATCCATCCAACAACTCATCCATCCATCCATTCATCTATCCATCCATCCAACAACTCATCCATCCATCCATCAACTATCCCGTCATGTCATCCATCATATCATCTATCTCGATAAAAAATTTTTTGAAAAATTTGTCATCTTCACAGTCGTAAAATTTTAATTATTTTCGATTTTTTTTCAATTTTTTAAAATTTTTCAACAGGGCAAATTTTAGAAGAAGAAACATTCCCTAGCACCATTTTAACTTGTTTAAACATACCAATTCCAACGCATTTGATGTCTGGGTACATTTTTTTCAAAAAGGATAACATCATCACTAACATATCCTAGTATTATCCCATAGTAGTGTTCTTGAAATTTGCATAATTAATGTCAGAATACAAATTATCATTGTGATTATTTTTACTAGCGTCGTCGTCATCTTCATCATCATCTTGCCTAATAACAAAACCTTTGAAAAAAGCATACAAGAAACATTTTATACATTGATGTGGCTTGCATTCGTCTGGAAGACAAAAGAAATAGAAACGGTTGGAAAACAATGGCAGGTGGGTAGGTAGGTAGGTAGGTGGGTAGGTAGGTGGGTAGGTAGTTTGATAGGTAGGTTGGTTGATTGTTTGGTTTATTGGTTTAGCTCGCATCATTATAAAGACGACTATTTTATATAAGTTTGTTGAAACAGCAATACGCTAACATAATACAGACCATAATAATAAAAAATTCTTTTGCGAAAAATCAGTAAAAATAATGAAAAATTACATTTAAAAAAGAAACAATGCAGACCAAAGAAAAACTAACCCGAATAGATCAAAATATATAAACTAACGTGAAAACAAAGAATCTAAGATCGAATACAACAAACAAGAACCAGAAAAACATAAAAAAAACAACGACAACAACAATAACAATAAAATACCAGCAACAACAACTTAACAGCAGTAGGCGAACAATACAAATGAATAAATAAGCACATAATAGGCAAACAGATCTTAGTTTAATTCATATTTCAAATAATTTCGGGATAATTTTCTTTGTAGATATTTTTTCAATGTTCTTAATAACTTTTTTCTTTCTATTTTTTGTCCTCATTCAAAACTATTTCTCCACCATTTTTTGTAGGTTGAATAATGATCAATCGATATTTATGTTTGTCGCATTTCTTTTTCAGTACCGGTCTTGTTTTATGTTACTGTCATTGTTGTTGATGTTGTAGTTGTTGTTTATGATGTTTTTGTTGTTACTGTTACTGTTGTCGTTGATGTTTTTGTTGTTAATGTTTTTGTTGTTGCTGATGTTACCGAATGTGAACACTTAATGTCGTTGTTGTCGTTGCTAGCAATAATATCGCTATCATCGCTGTTGCAGTTTTGGTGTTGCTTTTACATTTAAATCGTCAACTTTAATTTCGATGTTATTATATTTAAAAGTGTTGTTGGTGTTGTTGATGTTGTTGATGTTGTTGTTAGTGTTGGTGTTTTCGTAGTTTTTATTGTTATTGCTGTTATTATTTTAAAATAATAAGAGAAGAATCTTTTGTTGATATTATATTCGTTATTATAAAAACATAGGACTACCCCAAGGTATGAAATGCAGTTGATGTTGTTGTTGTTGCTGATGTAATTAATGTTTTAGTTAATAGTGTTAATGTAATTGTTGTTAGTGGTTTAGTTGCCTGCAGCTTTAGTGTTTTGGTTTATAAAAATGTTAAGGGTTGTTGTTGTGATTTGTAACGCTGTTGGTCTTGTGGCAATTTTCAACGTTGTAATTGTTGTCGTTGTTGTTGATTTGATGTAGAAAAAGTGATGTCTTTAATGTTAATTGTTATATATATACATGATGTTATACCGGTTGATGTTGAGGTTATTGTTGGAGCTGCATGTATTAGGTAGGCCAAAACAAATGCATCGGCGATTTATGCTAGTATCATCGATGTTTTATCGTTCTTTCCATTATTCCACAACAATATCGTCATCGTCTTTGTCGTCGTCGTCATCCTGTCGCCAGCATCGCGTCGCCAACATCGTTGCCGTCGCTGCGGTCGTGTCGCCATTGTCGTTACGCCAATAATCATGAAAATACAAACAACATCAACACCAGTAATAATAATGTTAATGCAACAACAACTACTACTACTCACACTAATAGTACTAATAACAATAACTACAACAATAATAATAGCAACAAACAACAACTATAATAAAATAATAATAGTAACAATAATAAAAGCAACAATAACCATAGCAATAACAACAAAAGGCATTTAATGTTTATGGCTTAGTACTAAATGACCAGTCCAGCACGTATGTATGTATGTATGTATGTATGTATGTATGTATGTATGTATGTATGTATGTATGTATGTATGTATGTATGTATGTATGTATGTATGTATGTATGTATGTATGTATGTATGTATGTATGTATGTATGTATGTATGTATGTATGTATGTATGTATGTATGTATGTATGTATGTATGTATGTATGTATGTATGTATGTATGTATGTATGTATGTATGTATGTATGTATGTATGTATGTATGTATGTATGTATGTATGTATGTATGTTTATGTATGTATGTATGTTTATATATTGAATAAGTGTATGTATATCTGGTAATTTTATATGTGGGTGCATATGATTGTTTTTATTTTTGTGTGTGTGTGAATTTTTTTTATAAATATTTATTATTATATCAGACATAAACTACCAATTTTTTGTAGTTTAATATGCTAATAAAATAACACGTTTTTGTTTATATGAGTTTATTTGTAAGTGTATATGTAATGTGTGTGTGTGTGGTGTGTGCGCGCGTGTATGTGTATGTGGTGTGTGTGTATGTGTGTGCATGTATGTGTGTGTGGTTGTGTGTGGTTGTGTGTGTATGTGTGTTAGAAAAATGGGAAACACTCAATGATTATTTTATATATATTTTAATTTAACCACCAATTTATCTCTCCATTCATCCTTATTAATATTTTCCTTCTTATTACAGATACAAAAATTGTTATCATCGTCACAGCATTACTCTCGTCTTTATCATCATAATCATCATCGTAGTCGTCGTCGTCATCATCATCGTCATCTAGCCACACAAGATGAAAGACGAATGCAGCCATAATTCAATGGAAACCAATCATCATCAATTTTATTGTCACCTTTGTTGTCATAATCATCACCTTCATCATCACCATCATCATCGTCTCTGTCATCATTATCATTGTCATCACCACAATCCTCATCATCGTTATCGTAATAACAATCTTTATCATTGTCTTTAACGTCATCATCTTCATCACCATCATCCCTATTACTGTAATATCAGACATCATCATCATCATCATCATCATCATCACCATCATCATCATTATCATTACCATCATCAACATCATCATCGTCGTCGTCATCATCCTTATTTGCAGCAGAGCCATCCACATCAACATGACATCATCACAATAACAACAAACCAGCTTAGAGGAAAAATGCAAGGTCAGATATTTTAATCTCAGCATCAACCGTAAAACTACAAAGACAGAAGCATTATTAACGACGTGATCGTTGACTAATCACCAACATCAGCAACCGAAACATCAACCAAAACCTCAAAAAACATCAACATCAAAGCCAACGACAGCTATCAAAATCATCAAACAAAAAAAAAACACGAACTAGACCGATTTAAAAAAAAAAGAGAGCATGCATCATCACATCACAATGACGTCATCACATCACAATGACGTCATCGGATCAAAATAACCTCATCGCATCACAATGACGTCATCGCATTACAATGACGCCATCACAGCTTGTGACGTCACCGAGGGTGCCGTAAAGCCAGTCTTCTGACGCTACTTCTGGTCCAAAAATGGTTTCGCTCTGATAGATGCAAGCTCGTATTATTTTCAAGCGAACCCTTCT